CCACTCACGAAGCTGCTGAGGGGACAGGGTCTCACGACCGCGCTGCTGCTGCTGGCGCGGACCACCACCGGAGCCACTCCTCTGCGCAGAGCCGCGACCAGCTCCACCGCCACCTCCGCCGCCTCCGCCACCTCCGCCGCCTCCGCCACCGCCGCCGCCTCCGCTCCCTCCGCCACCACCGCCGCCTCCTCCGCCTCCACTGCTGCCACCGACACCTCCACCCCCGCCACCACTCCCACCACCACCCCCACCCCCTCCACTGCCTCCACCACCACCTCCACCGCCCCCACTGGCCCCCCCAGCGCCCTTGCCCCCTTTGCCCTTGCCGGTGCGGCGCTTCTCGCAAGGGGCAAACGCAGCGCCGACCGACTCGAAGCCAACGAGGTCGGCCGCAGCAGCAGAAGCAACAGAGGGCAAGAGGGGGGAGGGAGAACACCCCTCAAAGACAGGGGTGCGAGGGTCACCACGAGAGGCTCCTACAGCGACTATGCTCTTCTCTGCTGCTAGGAGGCGCTCCTCGAGGAGGTCAACGGTGAGTGTGGTGGGGCAAACTGAGAGGAAGTGGTCCCTGACTAAGCGAAGAGAGTCAGGGAGCCGGGTGACTATGTAGTAGAGGGTGATGTACATGGGGGGGGGGTTCTTGGCACAGAACTCAGCAGGAAGTGCAGCGCGGTAGCGAGTGTCACTAGTGCGAAGGTGCGTAATGAGGTCAGCGACTGTGGGAAAGGCAGCAAGGTCAGGGAACAGGTACGGTAGCATGAGGCGGCTAAGCGCAGCAGTGGCAGGGGAAGAGTAGCGTGCAACTACAGCGTCGTACAAGGTCTTAGCACTCTTGTACTGGCTAAAGTGCGCACGCTCAGTGGTCGGTAAGTGGCGACGCACAGCAAGACGTGCAGCAGCATCGCGCGTGGCCCACTGTGAGCGAACAGTGCTGTCAGCAGTAGCAGGCGGGGCAGGAGAGACACCAGAGGTGAGATCGAACAGGGAGAGTCCGTCTGCCCTATCGCACTGTAAGAACAGCTGGAGGTCATCGACCCAGACCTCAAAGTCAACAGCACGACCCTCAGTATCAAAGGTAAGGACACTGGGGGTAGCCATGACTGCAGTGGTCTAGCAGGGAGTGAGCTCACCAGTCCAAGGAAGTAGGGCCGGGGCGCGCCGGAAGGAACAGTGGCGGCTCGGCGGTAGGGCGGCTCGGCGGCTCGGCTGCTGGGCGGCTCGGCGGCTCGGCTGCTGGGCGGCACGACGGCTCGGCTGCAGGGCGGCTCGGCGGCTCGGTTGCTGGGCGGCGCAGCGGCTCGGCGGCTCGGCTGTTGGGCGGCTCGGCGACTCGGCTGCTGGGCGGCTCGGCGGCTCGGCTGTCGGGCGCCTCGGCTGCTGGGCTGCTGGCGGCGTTGAAGGGGCCGGTAGAGGCGGCGATGGGGCCGTGAAGAGCGGCGACGGGGCCGCTAGGGGCGGCGACGGGGCCGCGAAGAGCGGCGACGGGGCCGCTGGGGGCGGCTGCGGGGCCGCTAGGGTCGGCGACGGGGCCGGTAGGGCGGCGACGGGGCCGCTAGGGTCGGCGACGGGGCCGGTAGGGCGGCGACGGGGCCGCTAGGGTCGGGGACGGGGCCGGTAGGGTGGCGACGGGGCCGCTAAGGGCGGCGAGGTGGCCGCGAAGGGCGGCGACGGGGCCTCCAGGGGCAGCGACGGGGCCGCGAGGGGCGGCGACCGGGTCGTAGAGGGGCCGTAAGGGGCCTAGCGTAGGCGACGACGGGGCCGCAAGGGGCGGCGACGGGGCCGCGAAGGGGCCGCGAGGGGCCTGGAGAGGCGGCGACGGGGCCTAGAGAGGCGGCGACGGGGCCGCGAAGGGGCCGCGAGGGGCCTAGAGTGGCGGCGACGGGGCCGCTAGGGGCGGCAACGGGGCCGCAAAGGGGCCGCGACGGGCCTAGAGGCGCGACGACAGGGCCGTGAGAGGGGCCGTGAGGGGCCGCGAAAGGGGCCGCTAGGGGCTTGAGGAGGGCGCGACTGGCCGCTAAGGGCTAGGGACGCGACGGGAGGGAGGGCACACGGGGCGCGACTCGGGCAGGAGAGAAGCGCGCTACGGGCAGGAAAAAAAAATTCAGTGGTGGGCCCTTAGGAAGCGTTCCCACTAGGGAACCTGCTCTATACCATGTGAGAAATGAGGAATGATTGCATTGAGCAGCATGAGGAGTACAAGTAGGAAACCCTAAAGTGTTGTACCCCATATGAGCTACCCCACTACAGCCTACACAGACTATAGCATATAAGTTTGACACGATGCTCATGCTCGACTCCTACATAGGTCACCTTACGGACGAGGTGAAGAAGAAATTTACCGTGTAAAACATCGTGCCGGCGGTGATCCCGGGGGGCTGTACATCGGAGGTGCAGCCCCTCGATGTTTTGATCAACAAGAGCTTCAAGGCCTCCATCCGCCAGCAGTATCAGAGCTAGCTCTAGGAGGATGGCACGGAGACGCCGACACCTGCATGTGAGAAATACGGTTTCAATACATGCGTGTGTTTGTTGCTTCCCCCCATCTGTTGGTCTGACTGCGTCTTCCGACTGCTTCATGTGGTGCAAGCAACATAAAGAAATTGTCGGATGTGGTGGTGCTCAGGTGGATCTCCCGGGTCTGGAAGGTCGTGCTCGCCGACCTCATCAAGCGGGCCTTTCTTACATGCGGCACCAGCAACGCGTTTGACGGGAGTGAGGACGGCCTCCCCATGGTGCACAGGAGGAGCCAGTTGTCCCACGAAGTGTACGTCGACGACGATGTCACCGCCGATGACTTATGGGGCAACAACTGTCAGGAGCCCGAGTTCGACGATGATGACTAGACCCTCCTATGAATGCTTTACTAGGCTAGGATAAGTAGTTGGTGCAAAGAATTTTTGTAGTGCCAAGGCTGAAGATGTTCAACTTTGTCAAGCTTGTCTAGTGTCATTTCAATCAAGGAACATTATTATTGCCGTAGGTAGACTTATGTATAGTAGCTGCTTGGTTGTACCGTATTGTTTCTAATTATATACTCAGTTCTTAACAGAAGGGGGGCGCTTATAAAAATTATTGGGTTCTAAGGGGTGTGCTTATAATCGAGGAGCGGCCATAAGCGCATGGCTCCAGGTAGAAGCGCCAGCCATGTGGTAAAAAGCCTGGTTGCTTGTGCCTCTTAGCAACAAAAGCTGAAATAGTGTAATACAGCCTACACTGAACTTCTCTTGACGAAACCATCTCCATTCTTCAGATGCAGCGTCAACGTGACTCTTGCGGACGAGGTTCCTCCATTCCCTGTTTCGTTTCGGCAAGTTACCGCCAAAACTTTCGTAAGCTTTTGGTCAACAAACGGACCTTTTTCAACCGATTTAAAACGCTTTTCACAGCTAAAGAACCTGCGTTTGCTCCTTCATTCTCGCAGTTGTTAGCTCTCAGGGAGTGAGGTCTTGGCTGTCTTCAGGCTTTCATTTTGCGATTCCTCTTCTGCGACTTGTTTTTTGTTCGCTCAGGCAGAATTACCTAATAACGCTGTCACTAAAATGGCGTCTTTATCGGATGCGGAAGAGTTTGAGGAGCGGCTGTTGTCATTATTTTGGGAAGCCCTTCTTTACCATAGTTCGGACAATGCCTTGTTGCGAGAGATCGCCGATGAAGCTACGCCGCCTAACTACAACCTGGTGATAAAACAGATGGTTTTGCTGCGAACCTTGGAGCATTACTTGAATAAGAACGGGGTCTCCGAAAAAGTTATCGACATTGTCCTAAGACTTGATACACTTAACGATGAAGATTATGTTAGAAGCTGCCAGAAACCCCACCGCAAAGCACGTGTACTTGGCGTCCCTGTTCCTGATAGAGAAATCTCCATTAACGAGGATGGATTGACACGTGTTGTGGAGTACTTCCAGCAAAAGGAGCTTGCACCACCACCAGGGCCGAAAACTGTGCTAGAGGTCATGACAGCCGTTGCGGTTCGGTTTCTTGGCGGGAAACCATGGGACGATCGCCTGTACCGTAAAGTCTTGGAACGCGTTTGGTCCGGCACCGTGGACGAATCAGAGGATGATGACGTGGACGCAACAGCAGTTGGAAAAGAATCACGTCACTTGCAGCAGTTAAAGGCTCGACGGAAGGAGCTATTGGCTGTCTTGAACGACCCGAGCCTGCAGGATAGGCTCGTAAAAAAGTACCCTGTTGCCGAAGCTGACAAGTTGGTTCGGAGGTACATGGACGATTCGTGGGCTTGGCTCGGACGGCCGTGTTTGGACGGGATTGCAGAGCAAGTGCTTCTAGGGAATGTTATTATGAGGAGGGATGCTGTTTTGGGAGAAGAAAGAGGGCGAAGCGGGGGAGGTGATGAGAGAGGGTTGAATGGTGATGGTAGAGGGTTGAATGGTGATGGTAGAGGGTTGAATGGTGATGGTAGAGGGTTGAATGGTGATGGTAGAGGGTTGAATGGTGATGGTAGAGGGTTGAATGGTGATGGTAGAGGGTTGAATGGTGATGGTAGAGGGTTGAATGGTGATGGTAGAGGGTTGAATGGTGATGGTAGAGGGTTGAATGGTGATGGTAGAGGGTTGAATGGTGATGGTAGAGGGTTGAATTGTGATGGTAGAGGGTTGAATGGTGATGGTGCCGAGATTCCTGGTGGTCCTACCACCTTTAAAAGTGGCGGTCTTGCTGGTGGAGATGAACGTGACACTGAAGCCGGATGCCCTGAAGGATATGTGACTGTAGCGGCGCGTGATCTTACCAGGAGCTGGTTTCCTGAAGGTATGCACCAATGACAGTGCGTGTTGACCTTGTCTGTTTCTCTCATAGCACCAGGGGGGCTGTCGGCAGCCCACCTGTCCGCCTTTGACAGTTCTCATAGCACCATCTCTTCTGGACCATGTTACCTAGCTTTTTACTCAGGCCCTGATTTTGTTTGCTTTTCTGTGTGACTTGCAGGGCGCTGTCAACATCACGAACCGAGGGAGGAGACGCAACAGCAGGAGCAAATGCAGCAGAAACAGGGGCAGTCACAAGAGCAGCAGGGGCAACAGAAGCTCCCGCAGCAGCAATTTGCCCAAGCACAGGATGAAGAAGCAGCACCTGCAGCCGCCGCCGCTGCTGTCAGTGGTGATGCGGAGCAGATGGTTCGTGAGTTGCGAGAGAGCAGTGCAAGGCTGAAGGCGGTAGGGCAGGACCCGCTGCCTGATGCGCTGCGATTGGCCGAGGCTGCCAAAGCTCAGGCTAGGAATGGTGGCTTGAGGGAAGAGAGGGAAGACGTTCAGAGCAGTAAAGTGAGGGGAAGGGGAAGGAAGGAGAGGGTGGGTTTGGAACAGGTGAAGGAGGAGGAGGAGGAAGAGGAGGGTGAGGAGGACAGGAGGACGAGTGAAGTGGGCATGAGGAGGGAAGGGAAGAAAAATATGGAAGAAGAGGGAAGGAGAGTAGCTAGTGAGACTGGGTTGGAAGTTCTGGGAAAAGGAGAGGGCGAGAGAAGAAGGCGTGGTGAAGATGGGAGAGAGGAGGATGGAGAGGGAAGGGATGGGGGTGGAAGGAGGAGAAGGATGATGGACCCTCAACCAACCGCACGCATTCTAGAGGTATGGCACACCACATGAATTTCCTTCTTGCTTTTGGCAAGCCGTGGTGGCTGATCTGAACAGGGATGCACCATCCCATGTTCGAATCCCATTCACCGTTCTCATGTGCTCGTCCCATGCAATGCAGTGGTCTGATGATGATGGGGAGTTATAAGAGACTCAAGAGCCAAGCAAGTTCTTTACATGCACAAGCCACATGCTCACTCCCATGCTCCAATCCCATTCACCATTCTCATATACGCGCCCCATGCAGTGGTCTGACGATGACGGGGAGTTGGAAGAGACTCCAGAGCCAACCAAATCCTTTACAAGCACCAACCACATGCTCCAATGCCATGTTCCAATCCCTTTCACCATTCCCATACATGCTCTTCCCATGCAGTGGTCTGATGATGACGGGGAGTTGGAAGAGACGCAAGAGCCAGCTCAACCCCAAGGCCCCAGCAACCGGCATGGCCGCACCAGCATGCCCGCCACAGTGCACCTACGAACGCCCTCCGCCCCCCACCTCTCCCCTCTCAACCTGCATGCCGCTGCTGCTGGTGGCTCTGCTGCTAGAAGTGGTGTGGAGCAAGGAGTGAGGCGGGGAGGCACTGTGACTGCGACTGGGAAGCTGAGGAGGCCCAAGCGGCCGTTCAGTGCAGAGGAGACCAACACACTCAAGATCGGCGTCATGAGGTGAGGCAGCTTGAGGTGCGGCTTGAGGTGCGGGTTGAGGTGCGGGTTGAGGTGAGGATTGAGGTGCGGCTTGAGGTGCAGGTTGAGGTGAGGATTGAGTTGTAGCTTGAGTTGTAGCTTGAGTTGTAGCTTGAGTTGTAGCTTGAGTTGTAGGTTGAGTTGTAGCTTGGGTTGTAGCTTGAGGTGAGGCCTGAGGTGCAGCTTGAGCCTCCGTATCTGAGGAACTACTTGTTTTGATCCGGCTGGAAAATTGTCTCAGCATGTGTTGCGAGTGTGTGGTTCTGGCTGGGGAATTGGGTGCCCTCGTCCTGTTCTGTTGTTTTCCTCGTTTTCCTTTTCTGTGTTTTCCTCTCAGCAGGTCGTTGATGTTTTGTTTGCCCCATAACACCTGTCTGTCCCTGATGCATGGCAGGTTTGGCAAGTCTTGGAGTCAGATCATGCACGAATACGCTGATGTCTTTGCAGGCCGGACTCAGGCAAGTGACCCAACCCATACCTGCTTGATTCATTGCATTCTGTGCGTTCTGAAATGCTCCCGCATGTTCACCTTAAAGCCCGCATGATAAGTTGCCAGGCCGGGGTTTCAAACGCGGTTGAAACCGGGGGGGCTGTGCTTAGATTCACGCAGGCTCGCCTTGAACGGCTTGAGGCCTACCATGGATGCGCAACCGTCTATCGCAATGGTTTCCTATAACATGTTGGCATTTGACTCCTTTGTATATCAGTGTTTTGTGTCTGGCATTGAAGCTTTATTTGTCATGTTCGTGTTCTGATCATGTCGCACCACTTCGTCTTTTTGCAGATTGATCTGAAGGACAAGTACCGGAACCTAGAAAGGGCTGGCGAGGTATAGACAATATGCAGTTTCTGGTTGAAAAAAAAATATACATTTTTACAATGTGATTTCGTATGTTTAGTCTGTGAATAATAGTGATGCTGTAGTTTCAACAATGTGTATTCCCTACAAAAAAACATGTTCCAAACATGAATGATGCGTAAAATGGAATGTTGCAGTTGTGCAATTTGTTTCATAACATGGAATGTTGATGCGCGCCGCTCACGCTATCCAGCCCGCAACAACCTTCAGATAGCAAGTCTGGGCGACATCATTTGTCGCTTCCCCACCCTACGTTCCGCATTCAGGTGATCATCGCGCGAACAGCCCATAACAGTAATTCCATGTTCACAAAGTTTCACCTGAAAAGCTACCTGCATGCTCACATCGCCTCAGAATTTTTTACAAGGTCCGCGTGGCCGTTGCATCCAGGTTAGGATATCTTCGGCTGGTTGCTTGTCGTTCATCCGCTCAGGTGGTTTCAGCAACACGATGATGCTTCTCACCCAGAATTCCCCCCACTACTCGTGTTCTGTGTCCCAACCAACCCGAGCCAACCAACGTCGTCTCGGTCAGGCGGAACGGCAGCAGCAGCAGGAGCAGCTCCTCCTGCAGAGACCGAACCTGTTCCGCCGAACCTGTGTCGTCTCTTTTATCTCCACACCCTCCAGCGTTTCCAGATGTGTCCAGCAGCAGCAGTCAGTCAGCCTCTTGTAGCTTCATAGCTCCCATTCCTTCCCTTCAGGTCAAAACCAAGACAGCTTGCTCAGTTTCACATTTCCAAGTTAGCTAATCCAACTGGTAGATTTCTAGAGCAAGCTTTTCGCAATGGCGCGTTTGTCCGTCCTAGTATGCCTTGCCCTCTTCGCCACTGCCGCGTATGCCGATGTGTGTCCTAAGTTCGTGTGCGGCCCGGGTAACTTCCTCTACGGCAAGTTCACCGACCCCTCAGACCCCTACAAGGAGCCCTCTGATCCCCTGTTCGAGGCTTACTTCACCCCCGGCCAGATGTACAACTACGCGAAGGACAATGTTACCGACGACAAGATCGAGACTCCCCAGCTTGATTGCTACAAGGTTTGCGACTCGTACAACATGAAGCTCCCCAGCAACTTCAACTCGGCTAACAAGGCCAAGTACTGGATGTTCGAGGAGACTTGCCTTGAGGGTTCCGGCGGTATCTGCACGTGCTACAACAAGCTCCAGTGCAAGGACGACAAGAGCTACAGCTCCAAGTGGATGGAGCCCGCACGCGGCGTCGGCACCGTCGACTACGAGGTTCCCGCTAACTTCACCGTCGGCGAGCTTTGCGACGGCAACAACAAGGGTGACCCCCACTTCACCGGCGCTGACGGCTCGCACTTCGACTTCTCCGGCAAGCCTAACCGCAACTACGCTCTCATCTCCGACCCGCACTTCCAGATGAACGGCTTCTTCGGCGGCCGCTACTCGCGCTGGAACGGCGACATCAAGTCCCTCACATGGATCCGGTCCGTTGGCATCATGGCCGGCCACCACACTCTCGTCCTCGAGGCGCGCCGCGGTGCCGACGCCGAGTACCTCAACGGCTACCTCGCCCGCGTTGTTGTCGACGGCGTGCCCGTCGAGATCACCGTTCCCGGCACCACTGTCGAGCTCTGGGAGGGTGCCACTCTCCGGTGGGAGGCGGCCCGCGAGCTGAGCGGTACCGATCTCGTTGATGTGTACGATGTTAAGATCGGCAACGTTGCCACCATCCGCCTGACCTTGAGGCCCGAGGTCAAGAACCTGCGCACCGCCACCGACGGAGCGGTTCACTTCGGTCTGGATGTGCTTTCGTCGTCCTTCTCCAAGGCAGTGCACGGTGTCCTGGGCCAGACCTTCCGCCCCGACTTCACCGGCCGACTGTAAGCCCGCTCGCCCTTCTCTCGTCTGAGTTTCTCTCGCTCTTTTGCGTTTAAAAGCTTTTTTTTCCCTCCTTTCCCTCGGAGTTGTGTCTCACAGTGTTTTCGCTTGTTTGGTTTATGTTTTGCAGTGCCCAGCAGAAGCTGCAGTGGAGCGACCTCCTTGGTGTTATGGTTGTTCCCGGTGACAACGCTGAGGGTTTCATCGACGGTGGCATGGACGACTACGAGGTGTCGGACCTGCTCAAGAATGACTGCAAGTTCTGCCGCTTCCAGCGCGCCGAGTCTATCGACGATGAGATGTCGATCGCCATGAACATGATGGGCTCGGCTGTCGGCGGTGGCCTCCCCGCTGCCCCCCGCAAGTTCCTCGACACGTACTAAATGATATACGCGGAGTATGACGGTGTTCTCTTGCTTAGCTATTTCGGTTGGAGTGTTTCTCCGTTGAATGTACTATAGGGATAATGTCCCGCCGGATATTGGCCATTCCATGGTTTCATATTTATTTCAATTTAATCAATTTCGTTTTTGTCGTCCAAAAATTAATTTCGTTTCTGTAACGTTTTGCGGTTGACCCGAGCAAAGCCTTCCAAGCACATATTTGTTATAAACATGGCGCCGTATCAACGTCATATACCGTATTCTCCCGGACATAACACCCTAGGGTATAGCTAAAAATACAGGGAAAAAATGGGGGGGGTCTTTACATATGGCATATCTTAGTGTTAGTGTTTTTTTAATTAGTCAATGTGGGTGTTTTGCTGGTCGTTTTAGCATCACTGCCTGAGGCGCGAATGTGAGTTTCGGCCTCGAACTTCATCGCCCCCACGAAAATGGCATGTGGCACCTCTCTTGCCACTTGCAACGGAAGATTCACCTGCACGTGGCGACAGAGAAATAGTGGGAGGGGGCAAATCTCGGCAGATTGCCTTTGAATGTACCGCGAAATTTCATTGAGGGAGATATTCACACGACATTCTTCCGTATTGCAGCTACTCGTTAACGACTATAATAATGAATCCGTAAGAAAAGGGGGGGTGTTATAGAAAATCAGCCAAAAAGGGGGGTATAGTAGAAACGAGGTCTATCCTAACACCCACCCCGCACAAGCTACCCGGGGGTGTACAATTATGGGGGGGTGTTTTGTCCGGGAGTATACGGTACATTCTAAGCTGCACTACTCCTGGATTAAAACCTGCGGGTCAAGAAGACCAAATCGGTTCATCCTTCCTAGTGTTGGTTAGATGTTCCCAAAACGCCTGTGATCATTACCTAGTCCAACATTTTCGACACTCCTATTGGTTTGCGGGTCTATACCGTAGCGTTTTCACTCAGGGCTGACGTTTCAAATTTAGGTACCCTGAGTTCAAAAAAAAAAAAAAAAAAAAAAACCCTGAAGGCACATTTTCCAGAAAAACAGCACCCTGATTGCTCAGGGTTGTGAAGTAGTGAACTCTGAATGTTCAGGGTCGATAATTGAAAATCAGGGTCGTAGTAACGCGCTCTTTCTTTACCGGGGACAAAAGTCTCACTCAGAAGTCTCAATCAGAAGTCTCATTCTTTACCCTAATCGCAACATCTGCTCGAAATCTGATAGTCTATGGGGATTTCAGGCAGAATCTGCCTTGACCTAGCGCAAAAGGAATTTCTGTACAGAGCAGAGGTCGAATCTGCTGTTGGTGTCGCAAGGGTGACTGTGACTGGCGCTGTGACTGGCGCGCTGTGACTTGCGATGTGACCGGCAATGTGACTGGCAATGTGGCGAAGTGACTGGCACTGTGGCGATATGACTCGCGATGTGACTGGCGCTGTGTCAGAGCACAACTAGTTCAACCAATAACAGCAACCTAATATCTGACATTATAGATTCGCCCAATCTTCGTCCCGATAACATTGCATTCAGGGTCCACAGTGTTGAATTGTATTTGCATACCTTATAACTGCCTACAGTTAGCTAGTGTACTAGATTAGTTATTAGATACCAACTGCTGGTGGTGTACCCTTTCCCCTTCCCCTTCTTCCTATTTGTACTCCCAATCTCATAATGAAACGCCCTCTTTGGCCAATCTTCTCTCCCTCTCGATACCATCCTACGCCTAAGTCCTAAACCCTAAGCTCCTTATCTTAACATGATATCAGAGAGTGGTCCCTCCTAGGACCTCGTTTTCATGGGCCCACCAAACCCGCGATCTGCCATGGCGACTTATTGTGCTGTTGGCATGGCTGCTACTGCTAGCAGCGCGAAATCCGCTGCTGGCTCGAACTCCGCTGCTTTTGTAGCACCCGTCGCGCTGCCCCCTTTCGCCTGCCCCGTCGCGCTCTGCCAGCGGCGAGCGTGCCAGCGAGGCGACGGCGGGCGCCAGCGCAAGCGCCAACGGCGGGCGCCAGCGCCAACGGCGGGCGCCAGCGCCAACGGCGGTCGCAAGCGCCAGCGCGGACGCCAGCGCCGACGGCGGGCGCTAGCGCCAGCGCCAACGGCGGGCGCCAGCGCCAGCGCGACGCCAGAGCCCAGCGCCAGCACTTCCGCCAGCGCCAGCGCATGGGGGGGAGGGGAATGAGGGGGTGGCGGGAAAGCTTCTACCGCGCCAGCCACCTCCTCTACTCTCCTCTCCTCTCCTCTCCTCTCCTCCTCCTCTTCTCCTCTCCTCTCCTCTCCTCTCCTCTTCTCCTCCAGCCGCATCTCCTCCTCTCTACTCTCCTCTCCTCCAGCCGCATCTCCTCCTCCACTCTCCTCTCCTACAGCCGCATCTCCTCCTCCTCTCTCCTCTCCAGCCGCCTCTCCTCTGCTCTCCTCCTGTGCACCACCACCAGCTTCCTCCTCCTCACCAACAGTTGTGTTTGCTCGTAGATGGCGAGCGACCAGCATCCTTCGCCCTCCGGCTATCCCAGCCCTCCTCCGCGCTCTCCGCGCCCTCCTCCGTTCTGGCGTTCACAGGTGCTGCCGCTCAGCCACCGCTGTTTCTGTGCCTATCCCAGCTACAGCAACCGCTCTACAGGCGACCTGGTGCCAGACACCACTAGCTAAAACCGTAGACAGTTACGGGGGTGTGTTGAATTGTATTTGCATAACTTATAACTGCCTACAGATAGCTAGTGTACTAGATTAGTTATTAGATACCAACTGCTGGTGGTGTACCCTTTCCCCTTCCCCTTCTTCCTATTTGTACTCCCAATCTCATAATGAAACGCCCTCTTTGGCCAATCTTCTCTCCCTCTCGATACCATCCTACGCCTAAGTCCTAAACCCTAAGCCCCTTATCTTAACACACAGGCCTCGTACTCTGTATTGACAGGGTCCGTGGAAACCCTACGCTGAGAGTGTACACAAAATTTCAGGGTCCGCTAAAGCAATACTCTGAATGGATCAGGGACCAAAATGTGAAAAACCTGATTTCTCAGGGTCCAGAAAGTGACAAGTCTGAAATCACCCTGAAATCAGGGTAATTATCCTGATAAAATCAGCCCTGTTTTCACTCCCAACCAACCTTCCTAAGGTTGAACTTCTTGGCCTGCGGGTTTTAAGCCAAGGTGTGATGTTATGTGTACAAGCCTATTAATTAGGGTGTTGAACCAGTACCATCCCTAACACCTTTATTGTGCCTTTTAACTTGTGCGCATGCTGCATGCATACGACCAACCTGTTCACCTCTCGGCGGCCATGTACTGTCCATTCCAAAGGGACGGTGTGGTGGGAATTCGAAACATGCAAAGGGGCAGTCGGCTTGGTTGAGAGCGAGAGACACATGAGGTGGGGGGAAGGAAAGGGGGTGTTAAGTGTGTGGCAGGGGCGAAGGTTATGGGAGGGGCTGACTAGTTGGGGATGGCGATAGCTCAAATGACTTGCGATGCGTTGGGCTGTTAGTCGTTTTGAGGGAGCTGGGATGGGGTGTGAGTAGGGCTCAGAGGGGGGGTAGGGTGTTAGAATCACTAGCTAGGTGAGGAATGAGTGTGGATTAGGTAAGAGGGAGGGGGTACAAGGATGTCGAGAGAGTTGGGTTGTACCCTCTAAGGTGTGACCCTACACAACCTAGAGTAAGAACATAACAATATGTTTTGACACGCCCCCATAGGTGAAGTAGGGGATAGCCAAACCTAACAGTGGTCACAAGACCAGTCAACCAAGACAACAAACAAGGCAAAGCCCAGGGTGGATCTCAAGGACACCACACAATCTGAGCACAAGCAGGCGGCCACAAGGCCAGTTCACTTGCAGATTTATAATAGCAAGGCAGTACACCGATTACAACCTAGCAAAAGTAAACATGCAGGTATAAAGATATATATAGCAGTGTACAACAAGAGCAAGTCAAGCAACCAGCAGGTGAGGCAGAGTGGGCACAAGCCCAAGAGCAGTGCAAAAACGCCGATGATCACCAGCCCCAAGGGCCTTGGTGAAGACATCAGCAGTATTGGCCCGAGAGGCCACGAAAGCAAGGCGCAGCTGACAACGCTGCTGCAGCTCACGCGCAAGGAAGTAGCGCAGAGCAATGTGCTTCGTTCTGTGCTCCAGTCTCTGCTCACGACACAAGGCAAGCATTGCCTTGTTGTCGACGTACAGAACTGGAGGAGAACGAGGCCGCTCCCCCAAGTCGGTCAGCAGGTAGGTCAGCCAGCGGAGCTCCTGTGCAGCCATGGCCCCAGCGTAGATCTCGGCCTCACAACTGGAACCAAGCACAGAAGAAGAACGAGTGGACCTCCACGAGACAGAACCAGCGCCAAGACTGAAAGTGTAGCCCTGTGACGAACGCTGAGTCGTCTGGTCGTCGGCCCAAGAGGCGTCAGAGTGTCCTGTGAGAACCACCGAACCCCGTCCTCCAAGCACGAGCCCCATGCCCGATGTGCTGCACAAGTAACGCAGTACCCTCTTCGCAGCATCAAAGTGCACCTTTCGGTGCCTGCCGGGTGCCACGTAGCGAGCCAGAAGGCTGAGAGGGTACGCGAGGTCAGGTCGTGTGCACGTCATCAGGTACATGAGGCAGCCCATAAGCTCTGGGTACGGACCACTCGGCTCTACGGACTCGTCCGAAGGTGGAGCTGAGAGCGAGTGGCCGGTAGCCAGAGGAGTGGGCTGTGGCGAGGAGTACGTGAAGCGGAAGCGCTGAAGGACCTGCTGCACCATGTGTGAGTGAGTCAGTGTGATGGTGCGCCGTGGTCTGTCCCGGGTGATCTACAAGCCAAGATAGCTCCGCAGCTCACCCAGGTCAGTGCAGGTGTGTCTCTCCTGCAGCTCCGCCTTCACTAGGGCCAGTGCCTCAGTGTCAGCAGTAGCAAAAACCAAGTCGTCGACGTACACGAGGATGTAGAACGGTGGCAGAGTAGTGTCGGTGCGTAGAAACAGCGACGGGTCAGCAGTCGAAGGAGCAAACCCAAGAGCCGCAAGT